GTATGTATTGCATAAATAAATAAACTGCAAAAATATGTACTTTGACCGAAACATGAATGCCAGATCAAAATGGAATTGATAGAAACTACAAAACACAGTTTTTACTGCATACCTCTAACATCCCAAGCGTTGATGCCAGATCTCAGGTTCGCTCACACTTGTAAAAAGGCATTTTTCATTAATATCAACAAGATAACAATTATCAGTTGAACGAGAACCTGTAAGTACACAAGAACCTTCACTGTTTTTCACATAGCACTTATCACATGAGAATTGACAATAAGGCCTTGATCACAGAGTTGACTTACACTCAAGAAATTTGCCTTTAGTTCATCAATAAGTAATACATCAGTTAATTTAGGTAACCCATCCAAATTTAAACAACCTGTTCCGATGATCTTATTGCTCACACTGTCACCAAACGTGACTTCCCCACTTGTACCTGACTGAATATTCATCAAGTAGGAAGGTTCCCCAGTCATGTGTCTAGTGCAACCATTGTCCATATACCATTTACCTTTCAAAGAAGTCCTGAGAGACATAACAGAGGCAAAACACTTAAAGGATTTCTTAGCAACCCATACTTGATGAGTTTTGGCACGGTTATTTGGAACGGTTCTGGCATGAACATTCAGTGGAATGCCAGACTGATTCCAACTTCTAACACTACCTGTACAAAGATCATGCTGCATTTTATAACATTTGGGTCTTATGTGACTAGTAACACCATAGTAATGACAAATAGGGACAAAGTTATAATGAGTTTTACGAACAGGTTCCTACATAGGGGAATGAACCTTCAATGGAAATTCTGGAGAGAGAGGTTTACTTATATTGCTTTTGACAAACCTGTCAAACACGTTTCAGGAAGGTTTCCCATGCAGGTTCATACCTCCAATTCCAGGTTTGTTCCCAAATCCAAGGCCGGTATGTTTTGTACTTGAAGTCCCAATTGAGGATTCAGGATTGTTCTCCTTCCCCGTGTACCCTATTCCAGTAAGATCACCATGTTCTTTCCCCATGGAGAGAAGTTCATTCAGATCTACTTTTCCCTTGTTTAGTTTTCGAACGACTTTGGCAGTTCGGTTTAACTCATCAGAGTTTGCTTTCAGTCTACTTTCCATGCTAGCATGTTCGTTTATCAGTCGATCAATTTCGGTTTTCAACTTCATGATTTCCTGGTTCCGTTCCGCAAGAAGTTTCTGAGTAGAAAACAATTCGATCCTAAAGCATTCAATGGTCTGAGCCTTTTTCCAATCCATCTTGCTTAGCAAGTTTGACACTGCTCTCAAGGATGCTGGTTCGAGCCTTTGTAGTATCCAGTTCACAATCTTTAGCAGCAGTGGAAGCGGATGCTTGTTCGTTCAACACCCTTTGCTCTTGAAAGTCTAAACACTTCGTTTTGAAGCTTCTGTAAGGCTTCAGATGCTTGCGCACACTTTTCCATAGCAAGTAAGTGTACTGGATCAACACACACATTTTTGATCTGCTTCATCTTCGGATGCTTCAGCTTCTTTTATACTTTCTTCAAACTTGGTCAGAACATGAGAAGTGGTGAGACACATGAACTTCTGGACTGAGGTATGGATTGCCATGTTACTCGTGTGCGAAGGAGGTTCGTCTGCGCCTTCTTTATCTGAATCTTCCCAGGTTGCCTTCAGAGACTTGTTTTTCTTCTTAAGGTTAGCACACTCATACTAAAAGTGTCCAAAGCCTCGACACTCCCTGCATTGAT